AACCTTTGTCAAATTCTTATTTTTATGTACAAACTTCATAATAAAATATCACCTGTAATATTTAGTACACTTTTCAATAAAATTAATCACATGTACCCTACAAGATTTTCTAAGTACAATTATGAGCAACCTAAAATGCATTATTTGGCTACCAAATTTTCTATTGCTATAAGAGGTCCTAAATTATGGAACGCTTTATTAAGTGACGAGCTGAAAAATTGTTCTTCTCTTTACCTATTCAAAAAAAAATTGAAACAAAAACTTATTAACGATGTTAATGAATTAAATTCTTTTTAAAAATTTTTTATTTTTATTTTTTCTTTATTTTTAACAATTATCTTATTAACTCTATAAACTATCCTATTAGCTTATCTATAGTTTTGATTTTTTTTTTTTTTTAATTTCTTTTTACTATTTTCTCTTGATTATAGATTATAATCTATAAAATAGTAAAAAGAAATTAAAAAAAAAAAATCAAAACTATAGATAAGCTAATAGGATAGTTTATAGAGTTAATAAGATAATTGTTAAAAATAAAGCGTGTACAACCATTAAAAGTTAAATATACAATTACTTTGTGCCATTTAAAAAATTATATACAATTATTTACAAGTATGTTAAGACTAGTTACTATAGTAACTAGTCTTAACATACTTGTAAATAATTTTATATAATTTTTTAAATGGCACAAAGTAATTGTATATTTAACTTTTAATGGTTGTACACGCTTGCTTATGAAAGCACGTCGGGGTTTAGTGATAAGGTAAGTATTGTCTTCTTTTAACCCCGGTCATGTAGATCTTATTTATACTACACGGCATTGTATTCTTTTTTTTACTGACGAAATAAATTTAAAAAAAAAAAAAAAACATTAAACAGAAAAAGTAAAAAACTGAAAAGTACTAATTAATTAACTCAAAGAAGCTCAGAGAATTATGGACATTATTATATTTAAAATGGTTTTATATTTTGTAAAATTTTACACTCCCTCTCATCCTCCATAAAAAAACTTATGAAAAAGTTTTTAGGGGGAGGGAAGGGGGGTAAAAAGTTGTTGCGCAATATTGGGTGGGGGGGGGATCAATAAAGTGTTACGGATACGTTACGAGAGGGGGGGAGGGGGTTTAAAATGTCAAAAACTGTGTGACGTATTTATGGACAACCCCATAAATACGTCACACAGTTTTTGATAAATAAATAAGTGTCCAGGTATATACCTGGACACTTATTTATTTACAAAGTTACATTTTATATTTTTATTTTTTAAAATACTCAATACTTATTTACTTATAATTATTAATAATTTACATAACTCATATCGTATTAAATTTCTATATCATATATAAATTTAAGTGTTAAACATGAAATAATAAGATTATTTATCCAAATTTAAATATTATGTAAACGAGTGATATAAACAACTCTCTCCCTAAACGAAAATTAAAATAAATGCATACTATGTATTTATTGTAATTTTGCGGAACATTAACTACTAAAATCATCTTTAGACTATAAGCTTTAAATTTGCGGAACATTAACTACTAAAATCATCCTTAGACTATAAGCTTTAAATTTGGTTCTTGAATAATGCTGTGCTGTCAAACTTTAATGTGTATAAATACATTAAACAAGCTGTTCAAAGTTTACTTTGATGTATCAAAAATCGTTAAAACGGCCCCATACACTCAAATATGGCCCAATAAATATGATTTTTTTTGAAAAAAGGATTGAATAACTACTAAATTTCACTTAGATTCCTAGCTTGTTAAAGCGTCTAGCCTTTGAATAAACTCGAATAGGCCAACCTAGCCCATGGGCCGACGTGCCCCGGTCTCACATATGTGTTTATTGTAAATTTATTAAATAACAAAGTTGAAAAAAAATTAAAATAAAAAAATATATATATTTTTATTGTGACTAGCAAGCAGAATGAATACATTTTTTTGAAATCGATAATGGATAACTGCTTTCAAGCTGAATCATTTTAAATATTGGGATTCGGTGATACCACCTATGATCGCTTGTATGGTAAACATGCAAACACAATATATACTTAAAAAAAAAAACTATATTAGAACAAGAGCTTATTATCAACAAGAACACCCCACTCTGATTTTATTTTCTACAATTTTAATGCAAGAAATGTTCAATTCAATTATTATTATTATTTTTAATCTCTTCGATTTATATTAACATCACCAACAGACTATAACGTCATCAAACACATCGATAATTATACTCAAGTATATTATTTTTAACTATTCTATGCAATGATTTATATAATTATTTATAGGAACAGATCCAATTCAAAAGCTAATAAACATTTACAAAAAATCAATTAAAATGAATTCATTTAAAGCGTTTTGATTCCAGCGGTTCTCTACGACAAGACCTCAAGGACTTCTTCGAGTTTCCGCATTCTTTATTCCTAATTTTTATTGTTATATTTATTGTCATACTTCTATTGTTAACGAAATCTTTATTGTAAATATTATTTATTTCTTTTTTTATGTCTTACGTTTTATTCACAAGTTATAATAGAAATTGTAGTAATGATTGTTATAAAGAATAAAAAAAATAATAATAATAAAAAAATATTCCTGCCTGTAAGTGTGCTAATGAGTGCAGTACTACTGCAAATTACTAAATGACAGTGTAGTCACAACAAGTATAGCTTAATAGCTGTATTACCTAGTTCATGATCGGACAATTATAATTTTAAAACAAGGTAGTTAAAGTAGCAAATAAATATATTGCTCGATTCTTATTGCAAACTTTATGCAAAACAAAAGGTAATTGGAACAAAAAGCAGCGTTGATTGCACACACCCACCCCACCTGCAGTACGGGTTTGTAGTATTTTGTGAACATTTTAATGATGATGATAATAATTGTTAAGAGAGGAAAAAAAGGAAGATTATTTGCATAACTTTATGCAAAAAGTTTAAGACAAAATAGAAGATTTTTTTTTTCTGGAGGATATTTGGTAAGATTTTAAGAATTTTATAACATGAAATGAAATTGAAATTTAGATTAAGTTAAATGAAAATTTAACAATTTTTATTTTTTCTGCGAGGAAGGACTGATTGCAATGGCTCTAATTTAAATGCAGTTGAAATTCGAATTACTCAACTCTTTCGAACTCATCCGAACAAAAGACTTGTTTTAAAACATTATTAATGTTATGTTACATAAATTAGTTAGGATGCTCTCATTCCAACACTTTTCAAATATTCTTTATCAATACTTTCATTCCAATTAATTTGATATTGTGAAATGGCATTTAATTCTTTTGAGAATTAAATTCTATATAAAAATTCATTTTGATTTCGAAACTAATAAAAAACTTTTTTATTTAATTTAAATATAAGTAGCACACATCTTAGAGTAGAGTAAAATTGAAAGCATGATTCAGGGTCCTAAGGCCGAAAAAAAGCTTTAGATCAGTTTGTAAAAGAATACAAGAACAAACGAACACTGAAAGAGTGTGGTTTCAATAAAGTTTGGAAAAAAAATCCATTTAATAACTCTACTACCGACGAAGTAGTCAAGATATTGGTTAACAGCTTTTTTTTTCATTCACTATCTTATATTCATAATTTCATTCCGAAACTGTTAAAACATTTCTTTTATAGACGGACCATGTTACCAACAGCGTTGATGAACCCATGAGTCCAAGAAAACCATCTTCTTCAAATTTTTCAACGGTCTCTGAAGAAGTAGATGATAATCAGGTGAGCATGGGACGCACTTTTATTTTATTAAAAACCTGCATATATTAAAAACCTATCATTTAATATCTACAGATTCTAAGAACATATATTTTAATATCTGCAGATATTAAAAAAATACCACAATTCTAAGACTCTACAAACAAAAAAGTTTCCGCCTCCGTTTTTTAAACGAAACTTCTCTCTAGGGAGAGAATATTAACAGAGACTGGCTTATTTGGAGAGGAACTGCAAAAGTTTTTGTTTGTTTTCCCTGTTCTATTTTTCGGACAACAGCATAATTTTGGCTCTGGATTTCAGTTTTTCCTCTTGACTTGGATTGTCAGAATAAAAGATAATTGGCAAAAGCTAAGAGAAAGATAAAAAGCCACCTGTGTAATGTTCAACACAGAAATCACTACATCTTCTGAAAATCAGCCTTTAAAGCCTTGAAAAATCAGACCGGGATTAATTCAGAACTTAAAGTCAATAAGAAATGAGGCATCTAAGTGGTATGAAATTTTACGCTGCGTCCTGAACGTCACTCTCTATTTAGCTTTGAGAAATCTAAGTTTTCGAGGTGTGTCAGCAGTTTTTGTTCATTAAATAATTTTAATGTTGTTTGGGATATTAATCTAAATGTAATCTTTATTTCAATATTATGATATATTTGTGTAGATTCATCAAACATGCTGGTCAAGTATGATAATGGGAACTTTTTAACCAGTCTTGAGGTGTTGGGGAAACACAATAAGACACTTTATTTCTATCTAGAAGTTTTTCGACACCAAAATCAAGGAACAAGAGCCGATTTTACCTCAGTCGTTGGGTTACCGAAGTTAAACAGATTTTATATGGCTTAGTTAAGTTTGGATATTATCATCTTATTCGATATTATATTATCATCTTATTGGATATTATCATCTTATTACTCTTAGCTGCAAAATATGGAGCGGATAAGAAAGTTTTGAAAATATTAAAAACCGTAAAAAATTTCGAGTCCTAAAACATTTAAGGTAAATTTGCGAGTGAAGAGAAAGAAAATTTGCAAGGGAAGAGAAAGCACAGTTTTCTTAAATTAAAATAATATATAATTTAAATTTAGCATAATCCTTCTGAATGATAAATGCAAATAGCTTTTGACAAATTACTAAGTGTCCCAATCAAAAGAAAAAACAAATAAGTAAGGTATTTTGGGGTTTTTGTACATCTCTATCACTTATTCGCACTAATATACAGGAATCTCACTTGACATACCAGTAAGTCGTTATCCAAAAACTTAGCAGCACCATTCAGTACTAAAATTATCTAGCTTATATAATTTAATTGATAAATTTTTTTTCTACAAGTAATTTATTAAGTTTTTTTTACTTTGTTTCTTTTTTTACATCAAATAATTGACAACAAGGGCATATACAATTAAGACACGGGCAAAGTTTCCCTCCTTGCGTTTCGTTTGCAGCAGTAACGCGAAATTGAAAAATTGCGGCACCAAGCGAAATAAACAGCCAGGACATTAGCAGTATTGTTTCTAAAAAATAACTCTTTTTCAATAAACAAATAGCTCACATACAAACTTATACAAGTTTCTTGACTACCTGACGTCAACCTTTGGAAAACTTACCTTAAAGAAATTTTGTAAGAAAAAGAAAAATACAGTGAAATAAATGACATAACACAAGTAAAAAATAATAAGTAAAACTAGTTACTGATTATAATGTCATTATAATCAACTAAGAGTTAATCTAAGAAACAGAAAATTAAATAGCAGTCTTAAGCAGAAATTAAAATATGTATCTGACAAGATCTGTCAGGCAAGGTTAAAAACTTACCATTTTCTCCTTTATCAGATTTAAAATGTAATTTAGGCAGCGTTGTTTCCTCGATATGTTTTGTACTTTTAATAGTTACAAGAACAGCATCACGCAGAAACAAAATAATCGATAAAACCACCATTGAAAATCCACTTTGAAGAAAGATATCCACTCCTAAATCATTATATTTTTATCTTTATAAATAATAACCAAATAAAATTATTTATTTGATAGTTAACAATTACCAGTTAATCAACTAATTATTTAGGCGGTGGACGTGTATTTCAGGCGCCCATTCCAGTAAGTCCGTAATATATCTTACGCGAAACGAGTATTTTAACCCTTTCCTGACGACTGACCCGCACCGCGGTGCATAAAATCTGTTCCTAAATGACGAGTGAACCACCTGGTGGTCCATTTTTACTTTTTTTGAACACCTATAGGGGTTTGGGAAAACTTTAATTATATATCTGAAATAGGAATAATTTCTTAAATTAATACTTAAAACATTTTTTTTATTTGCACTTATAGATTGGTCAAAAATTTTTTTTGAAAAATGGCTAAAAAACGAACAAGTTATACTGATATGAATCCTTGATTCATATCAGTAATCAAGTGATTCTGAAAGTATTTTAGATTGTGTAAATAAAGAACTGCTTCCCTTGACTGAGAATTTACCAGTTCAACATTTAGTTTTACCTTCACCATCCGTCACAAATACCACTAAAAATCAAAATTTCTGCAATGATATTTCGGCATCTGAGGAGAAAGCAGATAGTGAACTTATTATAGAATCTGATATTGAAGAAATTTATGAGGAATCATTTAGTGATATAAGTATAGAATCTGATTGTGAAAAGTAATGTTACGAAATTCAACAACTCATGTTTCACAGCCCCAAAAACGTGTGAGAACCAGAGGTGAAAGTTACATTCTTTTGATCATTTTGCTCTAGATAGAGGTGCTTTTCATAAACTACAACTTGCTGAGGCCAAATTAGGGTTAGGTTTCCTTGTGTTAGTGGAAGTCGATCACATCAACAGATCATTGGTCGTATTGTTCCTGATCAAACTGAATTAGTTAGAATGGGAGCATAGCTTATTTTTATAATTACAACAACAACAACATCAACAAGCAATAACATGATTAGATTATGTTATGTTACAATAGCACGAAGAGCAAATAGTTATGAATGATGCTGATAATGAGGAAAAATCTAATGACACTTTTCCATTCTTTTTCACTGAAGGTCTAAATGTTAGAACAGGAGAAGACAGTACTCTTGACTTTTTGAAGCTCACTTGACCAATCATATTTTAAAACATTGTTGCTGAAAGTAACCGATACTGCAAAGATTTTTTGAGCAATGACACAGAAAAGGCCAATAATTCTTACCTGAAGATTTGGAAAGCTGTTACAGCAGTTGAAATAAAAACCCTTTTTGGTCTAATTTTATTAATGGGTATCGTACATAAATCAAATTTAAACATGTATTATTCCCCCAATGATCTTTACTAGACACCAATCTTTTGGAAAATAATGTCATGAGACTGTTTCAAGGTTATCCTAAAACTTCTTCAATAACAATAATGATCCTAATCATAATCTTAATGGATCTAATAGAGATCGACTGCAGATGGTCAGACCATTCCTCAACATGACCAGTGAGCGTTGTCGAACAGTTTACTGTCCAGGATAACACTTGAATGTTGATGAATCCCTTGTTCTTTTTAATTGCAGATTGCATTTATGTCAATATATGAAAGGCAAAAAGAGCACGATTTGGAATAAAGTTATATAAGTTTACTACATGATATTACGCTTGATTTCCTAGTGTAATATAGTACTGGGGTGTATGATGATGCCTTCGAGCCAATGTATACCAATACAGCTGATGGGACCATTTCTAAATAAAAGTCATATAGTCTTGATATATGCTGATATATAGTCTTGATATACACTGATAACTACTATAAATTCCTTCATTTGCCAGCTACCTCTTGTTCAAGAATATTTATAGAATCATTCAGGCAAATTGAAAACACTACAGCAAAATCAATGACTTGCAAAAGAGATTGCTGTTTTTTACAAAACTCGCAGCAAAGAGAATAAAATGTTAGCCTGCAAATATTGTGCAACTGAAGACAAATCGAGTAACAAATAGAAAATTGTTTACATGCTGTCAACATATCACAATCCAGTGATGTTAGAAACAGGAAAATCTGAAAAAGATGGTAACATTATACTTAAACCGTCAGTGGTCAAGTCATACAATATGCTTATAGGTGTTGTTGACCGAGTTGAACAGCAACTATATGGAATTCAGGCCCTTCAAAAATCCAATAAATGGTATAAGAAGTTAGCTTTTCATCTGATTCTTAAATGCTCTTTAAACTAACAAAAGATTTTTTTTTTGTTAATTCACCTACTCAAGGCCGATAAGGCCACTACAGACGAGGAGGCTACTTATTTGTGGTTATATAACCCTCTCTCAACTCTATAACTCCGAAACACGAACCTTGACGAACAAGGCCGCTGCGCGGAGAAACGAGTTGAGCGCGGTACTACCAGGGATGTGGACACAGTACTGGCAGGAACATCTCATACTTGGATTTTTTGTTGAGTAACATCAAGCTAATATTTACACTCCTGAGATCCCTCACAACTTTTGTGTTCTTGTTAGAAAAGATTTGGATTGACTTAATAGCAGACACTTTTCTTTAATGTAGCCAACAGGAAAGGCAGGCAATAGTAATAGGCGCCACATAAAATGTTGTGTTTGTTTTTCAAAAAAGAGGGGAAACTGGATGCCAAAGGACATTCCTTGAAAACTGTTTTTGATTGTAGATTTTGTCTATCGCAACCCAGATTACATCCTGATGAGTGTTTTCAAATTTACCATACGATTTTAGACTATTCCTAAAAAGATATTATGTATGTTTACTCATACATAAAATGTTTTCTTAAGCCAAAATGAGTATATTTTTTAATTTAGAGAAAATTCCAATTTTTACGTGTCCATACAAAACGCTAAATATATTTTGATTAAGTTATCAACTTCTTTTTTTATTGGTTTAATTATCACTATAAATGCCAATCTTATTTAATATTAAAAATTATATATTCATGAATTAATCTACTATTATCTATTATATATAGTCTATTATTTTAAGATTAAATAAAGAAATTAAATATTTTTGCTTATTTCAATATTTATAATTATCTAGTCTATTCTCTGACAAAGTCTGTTCTCTCATTTGTTGTATTCTGACAAATAATTTTTTTTTTAAACTTTCTATTGTTCATGATCCAAATTTTTTATTTTACACGCAATCATATAGCTGATTTTGACTCAGTTGCAAAAGGGTTAAAAATCATAGCCTAATCCTAACTATGTAATTTATTGAAAACAACAATCTAACCCTATCTTTAAAGGGTCAGGGTTCGTTTGTGGTATAGTTATCATTGTTTCGCATAAGACTTGTTTTTTGGAGAAAAATATGTCCATCACCTTGGATTGAATAAAGTTGAACAGACAAAGACGAAGAAACTGGTGGAGTGCTTATCTTTTCTGCCTCCTCGACTGTAGTGGCCTTCTAAGTCTTGGGGAGGTGAACTAACATAAAAAGAAAAAATGTTCCAAAAACACTTGAGGTATATAGTCATATAATCTCTTAAAACCTTCTAAAATGGATCTTAGTAATGCTGATGAGTGTTAAAAAAATTAGAATGAACTAAGAATGTAATGAATTACAAAAAACTTATAATTAAAAAAAAAAAAAATTGTAATAATAAAAAAGCTTTAAAAAATTAGGTTTAAAAAGTTACTTTATACACTATAAATCATATTTTAAACATTAAATACCGAGATAATAATAGTAGTATTTTAAATAGTGAGACTAAACTTATAATATTTGATTAAAAATAAAAAAATAGTTATAAAAACAATAAAAAATTTACCACATAGTGCAGCGAAACATCCAATAAAAGAAGTCGCAAGTATCATAAGAGGTTTCTCAAATTTCCATGTGAGTATTCCAAATATAAAACCTGATACTGTCAACAATATAGTAATTGATATATTGCTAAATTATGATAAAAAGTAATATATAAATAGATAATAAATACTTCATAAATAGGTAATAAATACTTCATAAATACTTCATCTTCATCATCAGAATAATTACTATTATACCTGATATTTTGAATGAAATGAAAAAAATTAATATAAAAGACTTAAAAAGCTTTAAACGTCAAACGCTATTATATTTTATGTAATTTTCTTTAAATAAAGTGATTGAAGGAAGTCTATGGAAAGTCTCTTTTTTATTTATTATTTAATTTGCTTTTAGTGCATAAAAAAAAAATGTCTTTGTTAAAACCTATTATATAATTAGAGAGTTGTAATATATTACAAAATCGTATTATACTTTAACTTTAATTCATATGAGGCTTTTGTCAAACTCCAACATCAAGCACCCTTCACATCCACTAATTCTGACTTGAGGAAATAGGCAAAATAAGATATAGGTATAGATTTAGCAAGAGATAGACATAAATAAGAACAGGTGCAGTAAGTGTATATACATCGATTTAGGATTTGGGTTTGGCCAGGTAGTAAATTTTTTTATGTTTGCCAGATTAGAAGTTTGACAAAAGAGTCTACTTATTTTTACATCTACTTTTTTTTTTATCTACTTTATTAACATAAACTGTGCTTGCTTATATGCAAAAATTGCAGTTTTTTAAATTTTAAAAACTTTAATCGCAAATTATTTGCAAAAATCTTGAAAGTTTCTAGAAAATCACAGGAATTTCCAGGAGAAAACCATCTGTGATTGTATAAATGTCATGCAAGCATGTTTATATATTAATAAAATAAATATTTAAAACATAATTTAAGTCTTTTCAATGAAGTATACTGGGTATTGTTTAATTATGAAATTTTAATGTGTAGACTTCCATGAGTTAATCTAAACTGGAGTCATGAAGAAAATTTAAAGTACAAAAAGAGATGACTCTCATCTGTACATCAGTTGCTTGATAAAGTTTAAAATTTTCTTATCTCTCCTACAGCTCTCCCTCTTCTTAGAAAATGAGCCTACAAAGTTCAAAAAATAGATAATTAATTAAAAATTAAAATTAACAAAAAGACATAAAAACCTGTTAAAATATTGGTGCAGAGAAGTAGTGTGAAGAGCCACTATTGTAATCAGCTAAAGTTAAATTAAAATTTGGTATTTAAAAACAGTTTCATAAAACGCAAATTGAGATTCTACTAAACTCAATATAGTATAACTAACTTTTTTTGTTTTCGTTTTAAAATATTAATAGTAATTTTAACTTGCAGACAGTGAAACTAGTTTTATTTTAAGTTACGAAAGTTAGTCCTTTATTGCATTTGAAAATTAGTGGGGGCATAAAACTAAAATAGTGCCATAGCATTAAAAAACTTACAGCTCCAAGGCATTTTCCCAAAAAGAAGATACCTAATCGATATAGCCAGCTAACCAGCAACCCAAACAGAATACCAACTACACAACTAATTATGAGATGAGCTAGATAAAAATAACAACGATCAAAATTTAATTTATTTTAATCGTAGATTATATTTAAACTATCAATAAAAGCACTGAAAAAATTGAATGTTTCACTTTTACTAGAACAAAAATCTGATTGGTTAAAAACTAACTATTTTTTAAGGATAGTATTTAAAGATTTTTTTTATGTATAAAAAATTTAAGAAATTTTTAAAATATATCTTTAATCTAAGTTTAAGTAGAATCTCATCATTGTTTTTTTTTCTTTCAATTAAACGGTGATTTATTGGTAAGCAGCTTACCTATAAATCATAATTCTAACTTATTTATAAGTTTGAATGCAATAAATTTTTTTAATGAATGAATAAAAAAACTCATCTAAACCTAACTTATCTATTTCTGAGGTTTAATCTTTGTATACTGATTTGGAAATAAGCTTTTTTTAAACTTTTTACCTTTTGTAGTATAGGATATGCAACTTTTTTTTTTCAACTATTAAATTTTAATTGTTTGGGTAGCTTACTTTTGTCCTTTATCTAGGTTGGATAAAGTTTTAGCAAAACTAAACAAATCTTAAATATATTATAAGTAAGCCAAACCAATGGTAGAATAAAATGTAGCTATCAGAACAAATGAAACTATATGGAGTTTCTTAATGATGTAAAGTGCTACATAATTAGTCATCATACTCAGTCATAAAATGAAAAAACAAAACACTATAGAAACTTTTAAATTTAAAAAAATTTAGTACTCAGGTTTAGGCAAATTATAAGTAAATAAAAAAATTATACTGTTGAGTTTGTTAGAAATAAAAATTACTATAATCAAATGTTTTGCTTTAAAAAGCTTAGTTTTGGAATATTTAAAGTCATCTTATTCAAAAAGACAATCATATTGTTAATTAGATTTTAAAAACTTTTATTTACCAAAGTGATATTAATCAGCTGATAGTATTATAAATGATTTTTCCTAAACTAATTTTTTTAGACCCATACCAAGATCCACAAAAGGCAGTTTGAAAGCAAACTAGAGTGTCATATACTACAACTACTGACAAAGAATAAGTTTCTTTAAAGAACAAAGATGTAAAAGGTGAAAAATAGGAATTGAACATTCAAAAAGACAGCATAATTAAGCATAAAAAAACAGGCAGTTAATAAGTCAATAGTAATTTTAATAAAAAATAAACCATAAACTGTGTCTCAGTATTAATGGTTTAATCTATTTTGAATTTAATCTATTAATACAATAGCCAGCTGCAATATTAGCAGCAATTGTAAGATAGACAGCAGATTATTTCAATCTATTATTACTGTGTTTTTTTTTTTTTTTTTTTTTTTTTAAATTCACCTCCCAAGGCCGAGAAGGCTACTACAGACTACAAATGTAGAAATAGATTATTACAATCTAATATTACTGTTTAATAGAGAATCATTAGCTAGTGGTAATTAAACAGTAATAATATCATATCAGTTGTAAAAACAGATTTTAGAAATCATTTTACAAAACTATTAAAAAAAAAGGAAATTTTTTTTTTAAACATTCAGTTTTTTTATGCAATGAACTAAAAATGTAATTTTATGCATAAAGAAAGTTTTATATTTAATGAAAAAAACTATAAAAATTATACATACTTACTAGAATAAAATTAACAATATTAGCACCTGCCTGTGGTTTTAAAATATTAATGTTGTTTCATAAAACTATTTTAATTGGTTTAAAATTTTTTATATATATTTTTCAGATTTTAGGATTGACAATATATGAGAAATCAAAGATTAACATAAGATTTTTTTTTTTATTTGAATCATACTAAATTTTGCAATACAATGCTCTTATACCTAAAGATATTGTTAGCTGAGCATAGGAGCAGCCTAAAATAGTCATTAAGACTAATCCAAATAAGCGTCATTGACTAAAATTTTTGTGTACTAAAGCACTATTCAAAAATTAGAGGTGGCTAGATTTGAACTCCTTTGAATCCGACCACCGCAAACTCTTGAAAAGTAATCACTTAACTGTTCAGGATTTGACATTTTGTTTAACGGTCTGATGTTTGACCAACTGAGCTACCTGGCCACTAAATAATTTTTATCTGGCCAATAAATAATCTATAATTTCGCTTGACGCTCTAACCAACTTAGCTATTTGGTAACTTAAAAAAATAAATGCTCTTATCAACTGAGCTACCTGGCCACTAGATTATTGTCAAATTTATTTGATTTTGTTGCTGCTATCATATATGTTGCATATTATAACATATGAAAACTGTACATCATTTCTAAGGAAATAATGTTATTTTCAAAAAATTTATACCTCTATCATACGTTAGCAATGGGTGGTTAACTTTAAAATGTTCTTTGTCACAACAATACTTAAAGTGTATAAACCAAGGGCTAACAACGTAAAATAATGCAAACGCGATAGCAAATCCTGATGCAAACAATGCAAACTAAAGAAATACAAAATACAATTTTTTTTATTTTTTATATATATAAAAAATAAAAAATATAAAATACAAAATAGTTATAGTACCCTGATATATTTGTATCCAGTTAGCATAACATAAATTCCTGCTAGAGCAACACATTCTATTATCAACACGTGATTCTTGTCACTATAAATAATATAAGTTTAGTTAGTACTTACATAAAGCAAAGTATCCAAAAATGCACTTTTACTTTAAAGATCTTGTTTAAAATCTTTAATTTAACTGTAAATTAAAAGTCACAGTTCAGTCACTTTGTCAACAAATATAGCTGTAAATCAAAAGTTTCAGTTCAGTCACTTTTTCAACAAATTTTAAATTATTTTTTCTAAATTTTAAGTCATTTATTTAGAAATTTATGTTACTTTAACTAGAAATTGTAAATCCTTTGCAGATAAATTTTTTTAATTTTTTCAAGAGATTTCATGTTTTTTTTTTGGAAGATTTTACATACATAGATTAAGGTGGTATAGTATCTTTATCCTAAGACGAACATGTTTTTGAGCTTACAGAGCAGTATAAAACATTTAAATGTTTTATACTGCTCTGTAAGCTCTGTAAGTTTGTTACAAACATTTAAAAAGAAAGATAAATGTAAAAAAAAAATCAGAATAACAATTTTCCGCAGTTAGTGTCAAAGTGGAAAAGTGATTTATTTTATTGCTAAAGTTAAGTTTATGGCAGATGTATATTTCAGGCACATACCTCTCTCCTGTCCTTTAGAAAGTTTGTTTTCAGTTTTTGAAAAAAAAGATTTGTTCCCTTTTGTACTATCTTACAGACAACTTATAAGTCTTATAGGATTGCATTATTCTTATGCTATCTTATAGGATATCTTACAGGATTCGTAAGATTTTATTTGTCTTTCAAATCCTAAAGGGTCATAAATCCTGTGATTACCCTATAGGGTATCTTAAAGGATTCATAAGATATTATTTGTATTGCAAATCCTATAGGATCATAAGAAATCTTGTGAATAGCCTTCAGGGTATCTTAGAAGATTTTTTTTTCCTTTTTTTTTTTGTTAGGTGCGGTTTTATCACAGAGCACCACAAAGAAGCATTTAATAGGAATGCCACAGAGAAGCATTTAATAGGAATGCCGACAACCCTATCTTCCAATTGATGTAAAGTACACAAATGTACTCAATGGGGATAACTACAATCCTGTATATGATAAAGAAGTTTTACAAAAAGCTTTACAAATGAAAAGAGGACTTAAAGAAAAAGCCATGAACAATATTGTTTGTGCACAAAATAAACAAAAAATTGACTATGATAGAAAGCATACAACACCATCAAATTTTTTTGTGGGTCAAAAAGTACTATTGAGAAATCTAAAAAAAGAAAATAGAAAGGGTGGAAAAATGACTTTCTCGTGGCTTGGTCCATATGAGATACTTGATATTTTGTCAAACTCAACATGTTTATTAAGAAACATTAAAGGGAACAACACAATAAAAAAGAAGTACTCTCTACATCATGTTAAACCATTTGTTGAAGAGAAAAGTAATTCAAAATTGCATAGTTTAACTTCTGAGTGCAATGATCAGGATAAAAGTCAACGTAATTCCAAATTAATGAAACATCCCACCAAAGAAGTTCTCCAAAAAATAGCTGAAAAACAAGGACTTAAAATATTTATAATGCCAGATCTTTTTGATGGAGAAGAAAATGATGTACCTTCAAAAATACATGTTTGCAAAGGTGATGGCAATTGTTTTTTTCGAGCAGTTTCGTTTTTGCTGACAGGTTCTGAGTGTCAACATACACGTGTTCGCGATGTTGTTAAACATATGTTATCAAAGCCTTGTTCCAGTCTTTTGTCCGGATATTTAGGCGATGATGTGGAAAACTACATTTTATAAAAGTGGTATGGCCACAGATAGTATATGGGCTACAGATGTTGAGATCCTTGGTACTGCAAATCTTATTGGAATTGACATTGCTTTATGGTCCTTCACTGGACAAAAACTAGCATGGCTCAAATATCCAGCATCCATGAAACTCGACCAACTAACAGCTCATAGTATTATTTTAGAAAATTAAAACAATCATTATAACGTTGTTTTGTCACTAAAAGCTTTGTAAATGAAATGACGTTTAAACTGAACTAAAATGATGTTTGTATATCAGTTGTTTTATAAAACAACTGATATACAAACATCATTTTAGTTCAGTTTAAACGTCATTTCATTTACAAAGCTTTTAGTGACAAAACAACGTTATAATGATTGTTTTAATTTTCTAAAATAATACTATGAGCTGTTAGTTGGTCGAGTTTCATGGATGCTGAATATTTGAGCCATGCTAGTTTTTGTCCAGTGAAGGACCATAAAGCCATGTCACACGGCTGTTTCACCATAGTCATAGTATTTAACTAGTCTGGAAACGCGGGCCGTTTTCTATCGATTTCGTAAAATAACTTGAGTTTTAAGGGGTGACCGGACTGAGAGTGCATCAAATGTTTTAAAATGACTTTTTGTAGCGCAGACTTTGAAAATTTGAATGAATTCGATGCTGTTTTAGCTGTTATTGAGTTGCTATTTGTTGGAGGCAGATCTCAATTTTAGTTTTAACATTAGACTACCTATTTTAATTTATCCTAACCAAAGCGAAGAAAGAATATTTATGTGTTTGTTTTGCAAGAAACTGATAAACATTTAGTAAAGAATAAAAAAAAGCAAAGATTATTCTTCAACCTATTAGATTTTACAATTATTTAATCAAGATTGCTTCAGATAAATAGTACTTTGCTACAAGCTGGCATTAAAAGTTTAAAATCAAGTATAAATATTTCAATTATTTCAAGAGTTCATTACAGCTTAGTTCCTAGTAAAAATGATGACAACTTCAAAACATGAAAGAACATGAAGTAGCATTCAAAACATGAATGCTTTCAAAACATGAAAGAAATTTTTTTTTCAGAAAATATTTTGTAGAATTGATTCTACAAAACTTTTTCTGAAAAAACAATTTCTTTCATGTTTTGAAGTAGCAAATCTTGTCTTTGTTTATCTAACTGGTGCCTCTTTTATCAATAATATTATAACATTTAAGCATGTATCCCTCTACATCACTAAACAAAACATTCTATTATGACTTAGTGGAAATTTTTTTGGTACCTCTAATTTTACAATTGGTTTTCTAACATGTCTAAGTTGTATAATGAGCAGTGTTTATCGTATTTGCTTGCAGCTAAGTATGCATAATCATCTAACATTTTACATACAAGTTCGTAGATTGTACATTGCAAAATATAACCTGAAAGAGTCAAACTAAATTGATATATAAAGAACATCAATTAAAAAACACTTTCTATTCTGGAACAAGAACATTAAAGAAAAAGTGATATGACTTGAACCTACTAAAACGGCTATTTTCATAGCCACATATTTTTTAAAAATATTATTGGTATATAATTAGCTCCTAGAGTAAGTTCAATAAATGCTTCATGTATATTTAATAGTTTTATGGTGTAATAAATTTATAATAAAACAACAATAAAAGATTGAATAATAAAAATAATACAATTGTCTTTTAATTTAAAATAATAATGACAACACGGCTATTTTACATATATAAAAAATATTTATTTTTAAACTAATCTAATAACATCTTTTTTTTTTTTTTTGGCATGACTTAATACTATATTACTACCACTTTATAATACCTGTGTAGTTAAATACATTTTCAGCTACTAAAAGTATTTTTTATTTTGTTATTATTGAAAGTCGTTAAATGATGGGTTACCCTTGCAAGCATTAAGTGATCGTTAGTGTTGGAAAGAATTTTCAAATAAGCTATTTCATAATGTAATAAAGTTTTTAATACAGCAAAAACTTATTACTTAGGCAGCAAGGTTAACACTTTTTAATAAATATTTTGCCAACTTTATATGCTCAAAAGTAAGTTTAGGTAAAATACAAAGGTCTTCATAGAATATATAAGCAATGTGGTTCCACTGTATAAACTTACCATCCTTACATTTATCTTTTTTTCCATATGTTTTAAGTTGGATAAGTCATATTTAAATAAGATAGTAACGAGTTGTTATATTTTAATGTGGTGGATTAGGCATAAACGAATCATTTAAAATGCTTTTTCAACAACTTGCGATTTGCATAAACATCGCAAGTTACAAGCAACAACTTTTAAGAAATTTTGATTGCTTTCTAAAGCAAAAGAAACATTAGTCATACAGTGGCACCAGTTGTAAAAGTCAAGTATATCGTCTAGATTAGTCAAGTATATCATCATACACTGCAGCTGAATTTGAAACTAAAAAATTAACACAAATATCTTATTTTAGTTAAAGATAACCTTAGATTTTGAGATATTATTTTTCTGCATTCAATAAAATAGATATTAAATTATAGCTTAAAATCAAGATTTAAAATAATTCTGCAATTTTCTTATAATACATTGTACTTTTTTTATAATTGAATTAAATTTGATTTAAGTATGATAGTGATGCAATATTTGGTAGCAGACTTTGGCATCATCTTTATTGCATCAAGTATATATTTTTTATTTGCTGTTATACAAATTGCAATACAGCATAATAAAAATAAAATTTTATATACGAGCTTTTGAATTTTAGTTTAAGAAGCTTTGATATACAAGCTATTTTTAAAGTATTTATTAAAATCCTATTTTTTTTTACTGATTAAGTTTTACTTATTAATAAAAATAGAAAAATATTTTTGCACAACATTTATTGTTAGTATAGCACTTGTAAAAAAGGTAGAAGTTCTACTGTAGCGTAGAATATGTGATATGCACATAGTAAGGTAAAATCTTCTACCTTCAAAAAAATTGTATCTTTAAAAGTAAAAATTTTTTTCCTTGTAAGGTAGAAAATTAAACAACAAATCACTATTTTTAATATAATTTAGGTAATAATTAAGATATAATTTTCTCTCTAAGGTAGATAAATATGCTATTTTAAGGGTATAACACATATCTTTAAAGATACCAACATCTAATTTAGCTTTGAAACCATTCAAAATGAAAAAATTGTACCTTATTTTTTCTTGTTTCCAGAAAAGATACCAGCAAAGTGTAAAGAATGATATATAAATTATCAACTAATCTAGCTAAGTAAACTATATATAGAATATAGATTAT